TCAAGACATCATGTTCACTAGTTAGCTAGTAAATCCGATAGTATCTCACAAGGGAAGGTTCAAAGCAAAAGCTACCTATCCTTTGCAGAATATTTTCAATTTCTGTACTCTCTGTATTTACATCATATTGTTGCATTTTCTCTCTGTCAATTTCATTCATGTGGGGGATTGTTGGAAAATTATAAAGTGTAGTTGTGAATTGAAATAGACTCCATTTTGAATGAAAGGGTGTAACCTTTCATGGTGTCTTTTTGTTTTAAGGAAGGGTCAAACCTCCATTTGAATGAAAGGTGCAAACCTTTCATGGTGTCTCTTTATTTTAAAGAAAGGGTATGTCCCTCTTTCATACCTTTTCTATTCAAATTGAATAGGTGCCAACAAAGCCTATATAAAGTAGTCCCATTCCAATTTTGATTGATTCCGAAATTCATTTTCCTTGCCTTCATTTGCTCTCTTTGCGTCCTTATTTTTTCATTTATTTTAGGAAAAATTTCAGAGAGTTATAGAACACAAGGTTCTGGTTCGTCGAACAAATTTGTTTGAAGGTGCACTACAAATTTGTGAAGATCATTGTATCCTGGGAGATAGACGCCACATAACCGTAAGCACCGTAGCGGGGCGAATCTGTCTTAAGGACAGAGTGTCACACACTCGACTTGGTCTTTAAATTATTGATTCAGTTCAACAAAATAAATTCTGTAAGTTTTATTTTATTTTGTTTGAATTATTTTAAGTTATTTTATTTACACAGAAGATTGTTCCAACAAGTAGCACCAGTGTCCACCCACCATTCTTTAAGATTTCCGACAAGGTTTGCCTCAGAAACAACTGCAGAAAGATTTATGTCATCGACACCATTAGAAATTTTGTCCACTTCGGTTATATTGGCTTGAGCAGGCTTCTTGCTTGATCTTCTTTTATCTTTGCGCTTGCTACAACAATCTTTGGCCGGATATCCTTCTTTGTCACAAATGTAACATTTGCCATTAAACTTGTACTTTTTAGTTTTCCCTCCTTTAGAGCCCTGTGAGGAACTTTCTCCAGAAAACTTTCATGTCTTTGCTTTTGGAGCATGTTCCACCACATTTGCCTTAGACTCCATGGGATGCTTACCAGCTCGTTTCTCAGAATTGCTGTTGTCCTCCTCAATCCTCAAATGCACAATCAATTCCTCTAAAGTCATTTTTTTTTGCACTTGTGTTTGAGGTAGTTCTTGAATTCCTTCTAGCCTTGTGGTAATTTTTCAATTAAGGCAGCAATTTGGAAGGATTCATCGAGAGTCGTGCCTTCTGCATGAATGTCATGCAGAATGAGTTGGAGATCTTGAACTTGACTGATCACACTTTTTGAATCAATCATTTTAAAATCCAGAAATTTGCCAACCACGAATTTCTTCGAGCCAGCATCCTCTGTTTTGTACTTTTTCTCCAAGAATTCCCAAAGTTCCTTTGCCGTCTTGATAGGACTATAGATGTTGTACAATGTGTTATCAAGTCCGTTCAAGATGTAGTTCCAACAAAGGAAATCAACATGTTTCCAGGCATTGACCACAACAATTATTTGTTGGTCGGTTTCATCCTCTTTTAGAGTAGGAGCATTTTCACAGAGAAAACGAGTAAGGTTCAGAGTAGTAAGATAAAACAGCATTTTTTGCTGCCATCTTTTAAAATCGGTTCCTAAGAACTTCTATGGCTTTTCACCGTGATTGACTAGCACCGTCACAACATGAAGAGAGGTTAGCACAATTACAGCCACCATACCAGCACTTGTTTGAACATTAATTTCAGTAGCCATGAATTCTAAATTATAAAACAAAATTATAATTAGAATTTTAGACTACACAAAAAATTAAAACTATAAACATAGAATTTAATTCTGTAAAAATAAAATAAACAAGAATTGTAACTTTTATTTCCAATTAATTTAAAAATAAAATTTTATCTAAACAAATTAATTCCACACAGAAAATTATTTCTATAACACTTCAAAAATTAAAATACTTAAACCATAATTTTAATTAATGAAAACTCAGAAATTATTTCTGAAAACCAAATAATTTCTGACCAATTTCACAAATGAATATTCTGAATTGTTAATGACTACCAGTATATTACTACTATTTGTATTTTCCAACCAGAATAATATTTTGTAAAACCACATAAAACAATTTCTGTAAAAAAAAAAGAAAAAGAAAAGAAGAACAGGAAATAAACAAAAAATTATGTAAATAGAATAATTCGAATCTGTCTTAAGATTGTTGGAACAATCTTTTGTGTAAAATAAATAACTTGAAACTAAATCAAACAAGTAAAAATAAATTACTTACAGAATTTATTTACCGAAATGAAAAAGTACAAAATTGATCAAGCCAAATGTGTGACACTCTATCCGTAAGACAGATGAGTGCTTACGGATAAATGGCGTCTATCTCCCAGTATACAATGATTTACACAAATTGTTGTAGCACTCCAAACAATCTGTACGGTGAACAAAGACTTGTGTTCTATACTCTCAAAATTTTTCCTAAGAACTAGTATGAAGAACAATGCACATAAAGAGCAAAAACGGGAAGAAAATAATTTTTCTGCATTTAGAAATGTTGGAAAATGTCTATTTTTATAGGTAGATCGGTGACCATTCAGATCTGTCCGAATAGGTATGCTTTTGAATGAATAGATGTAAACAACCTGAACAGATATGGAATTTAAACTGAACAGGTGCAAAACTGTTTGAACCCAGTTTTGAACATGTCTGGAAAAATCGAAGCTGTTTGGTGCAACTATTAACCTGTTTGAACCTATTGGACCGCTGGAAATTAGACTGGACGAGGAACTGTTTGGACAGAAAAAATTGGCGCAAAATTTAAATTAATTTCGTTAAGAAATTCAAATAATTTTCCTGCAATAATTTTAAAAAAATTTGTCCAAAAAATTAAAGTTAAGACCCAACCCACAAACCACACCTCGCAACCCGAGTAGGGTCGGTCGGGCAAACGGCGGTGGCACGCGTGATGGTTTGAGCCAATGCTCACTTTGTCCATAACTCCTCCCTTCTACAAACTTGGAGTGCCCCTTAGGACCTAACCCAGGTATTCCCACCTAGAGCTTATATACACACTCAAGTTCTCTTAAAGTTTCAATGTGGGACAATCTATTTCAAGGAAAGCCACATTTTATTCTTTAATTTTTCATTCCACGAACCCGAAAATGACGTCAACTTCTTATTCACTCATAATGGTTTTGACGAACCGTCTTCACCATGTGACTTGCCATGCGGTAAGGAATACGTCACCTCTTTGGACCCACCTCAAAAGACGTGTAGGCCCTACTCAAATTTTGGATTCAAAATTGGCCCAAAATAAGCCTATAAAGATCATTATTTCCAACAAAACTAACACCTACCCATCTAGGAAACATCATTTTTTATAGCTATTAATTAATATAAAAAATCATATTGATTGAGTATCGATAATACATTATTCAATTACATTTATCTGAGACTAAAATGTATTCTGATTGTATTACTACTGATGTAATCAATCTAATTTGATTTTTTTTTTTCACATGAATGATCATTTCGCTACATGCTCGATCAATCTACACAACCAGTGAATAATTTGAATGACCAAGGTGGACCTACAATACATCCAACAGAGTTGGGACAGGACCCTCAAATCCAATTCAATCCAATCAGATTAAGAACTGGAGAGAAGTCAAATCTAAACATAAAAACAAGAGTAAATTACATTGACACCCTTTGAGGTTTGGTCCAATTACTACCCACCCCCTGACGTTTTGGAAACTACATTCCCACCTCTGTGGTTAATAGTCTTATTTCACAAACCCCCCTACTTATATAAAAGGTAACAACTCCTAGTAGAAAAATAAAGGAAATTAAATTTTTTTTTTTAAAAAAAAGTAAAAGAATGGGAGAAAAAAAAGAGAAAGTAAAGCAAAACAAAAAAAGATATAGTGTATGAGTTTAATATTTCCATTCCGTCTAAATAATAACAATGATAAGAGGGTTAATGTAATTTTCTAAACGTCAGAAAATGATATGTATTAAACTCAAACCTCAAGAAGTGTATGTGTAATCATAAAAACAATAACAAACAATTACCCAACAATTCAAAGGCCATGTCAATTCAGCCCATCAATCAAATTCATAAAAAGAAGCTATATTTACAATAAAATAGAATAAAATAAAATAAAATAAACTGTATATATATATATATGAGTTAATATATGAGTTAATAATTTACCTCCGCTATCGAGAAGTAGAATAACTGGAAGATGAAACTTTGACTTAAAGGGTTTATAACCATCGAAGGGATTGCAACCAAAAGAGCCCTTATCAGGGTAAACAACAATGCCCACCATAGATCCTCCATACACAAGAACTCCAAAGTTCCCAATCGCACCATCACGCTTCGAGTGAAGCTCCGAAGGGGAGAGTACACTGATACTCTCCTTTTCGACCACGAATCAAGCATCTACAGTGCAAACCAAGACAATCGACAAAACCCACAAAGCTATGAGCAAATTCCAGAGAATCGCCATGTGGGTCGTCACCATTAACGAGCTCTGGTTTCAAATTTTTGTTTGGGTTTCGAGAAAGCAGAGAAATGGGAGAAAGAGAGAGAGAGAGAGAGGTAAAATTACTTAAAAGTTAGGATTGAGAAAGAGGCTTGACTTTGCTTATCGTCTACCATTTGGGTTTGTATTGTTGGGTATGACCAGGGCCGACCCTGAGATTTAGGGGCTTAAGGCGACCTTCGAAAATGGGGCCTTTCTTACATTGGAAAATTAAAAAAAAAAAAAGTTGATGGATAAATGGATAAAAAATTATTTGCACATATAATCTAATCATTAAAATTATAAACAAAAATTTACTTTCATATATTAAGATAGGAAGCAATTATTACAAATACTCAAAAAACTAAAAATTTGGTTTTGTTGCTTTATAGTTTAGCAATATCCAGTTTACAATTGAACCAACTATCACATAAACATTACTCTTCTCACATTTTTAGCTGCAAAATCACTAATGAAGCTTGCATAATTGAATTTATCTACCATATCCTTTTCAATGGATAACAAAGCTAACCCATTCAATCTTTCTTGTGACATAGTTGACCGAAGGTAAGATTTGATTAACTTCAACTTTGAAAAACTTCTTTCTCCAGAGGCCACTGTAACAGGTATGGTTAACAAAATTCTATACACAATCCATGCATTTGGGAAACAACCATCTATTGTTTTCAAATAATTTAATACTTCAATTAGCCTTTTGATTCCTTCCGGTAAAACTTCTTTCAAGACATTCAACTCTGAAAATAGATCTCTCCCATCAATATCAGAAAGTTCATCATGTTTCAGAAAATCTTCAAGATTAACACAATAAGTCTTCAAACATTCCTTGTTAGTAGAACTCAACTTTTTCAAATCAAACAAAAATCCAAAATTTTCCTCATATACTTGAAATTGTTCAAACCTACTCTTAAGTGAAGAAAGAGCTTGATCAAATATATACATAAAGTAATTAACTCTAAAAGATTCTTTAGCAGTCTGTGTTACCTCTTCACTAACATTCTCATCAAATTGCTTCTTTTTGCGAATGACACGCTTTTCACGAAATACTGGATCAATTTCCATTAGAGTAGCAACTTCTTTTGCCTCAATCATGGCATCCAAAAATCCAGTTTCTCTATACTTTTCAAGAAAGGTAATGAGTCCTTTTAACTGAAATATAGCAACATCAATATGCATGTCTTCCCTTTGAAATATTTTGCTAACTGAGTTAACTGCAAACAATAAATTGTGCCAAATAATCATGCCAATCAAAAATTCAAAGTTCTCAATTTCATGTGTTGCTAAAGACTCAGCTTCACTCTTTGTATTGTGGGGTTCACCAAGATTTGCCAAATGATTTAAAGCATCTGTTATTTGTGGAGCTTGATATCTTATTGCTTTAACACTTTCAACGCGACTTTCCCACCTTGTTTGTGACAATGGCTTCAATGTGAGACCTTCCACATGATCTTTGAAAACTTTCCACCGCTTTGTTGAAGATGAAAACAATAAATATATACGTTGTAACACTCCAAAAAAAGAGATAGCTTTGGGACAAGAGTTAGCCATATCACAAAGTGCAAGGTTAAGACTATGACAACCACATGATGTGTAGAATGCTCTAGGATTTATTTCAAGTAGCCTTTTCTGTACACCTTTGTGTTTCCCTTTCATGTTAGAGCCATTATCATATCATTGCCCTCTTATATCACCAATATCAAGTTGGAGTGTGCACAATACCTCTTTAAGTACATTAAAAAGAGCCAATCCCAATGTGTCATCCACCTTTAAAAATTCTAAAAAGAACTCTTCCACCTTTACTTGATTAGTTGAAACATCCATACATCTTATTACAAGAGACATTTGTTCTTCATGACTAACATCTGGAGTACAATCAATAATAACTGAAAAATATTTCGCTTCTTTGATTCTTTTCACAATTGTACTTTTGATCTCACCCGCTAACATCCATTTTGGATTTTGTGACCAAGATAATGGTAATGAATTTCATTCCTTTCAATGCAATGAAGGTGGTCTTGCATTACCGAATCAAATTGAGCAATCATTTCAATTAAACTCAAAAAGTTTCCATTTCTTTCTTGATAAATCTTCTCCTTGTCTCCACGAAACGCTAAATTATTTTTAGCAAGAGTTCTCACAACAGCAATTATCCTTAGTAACACCTTTTTCCAATGTTCTCTCTCCCTATTGATTTGTTATTGAACACCTTTGTCAATTGTTTCATTCTTTTGCAATCTTTTTTCCAATTCAATCCATTTGCTCATACAAGTCATGTGCTCATTGCTAGTTTCCTGACTTCTAAGCCTATGACCTAGATTCTTCCAATCTTTAAATCCATTAGTAGCCAACTGAGTCTTGTTCCCATCTTCCTTAAATAACTTACAACAAAAACAAAATACTTTGTTTGAAGCATCTGAATATACTAGCCATTTCCTATCTTGCTTCTCTTCATTTGGTAAATTTCGAATGTAATGTGTAGAGGAGAAATGTCTATCCTTGTCATCTCTAGGAAAATTGACAACATTACTTCTTATAGGACCTCTTTCAACTAATAAATCTCTGAAATTCTGATCAATCTTGTCCCAATGTTACGCTAAATTAGGTAATTTTCTAATTTAAAGAACAAATTATATAGGGCAAGAAATTAAGAGGAAAATTAGGGGAAAAATTAGGGCAACAAATTAGGGAAAAAATTAGAGCAAAAACTTCCTCTATTTAAATGTGGTATATATAGAGAGAGAGAGAGTGAGAGACTCACGGTTTTGATGCCCAATGCAAGAAGAGAGAGAGCAGTCCAATGCAAGAAGGCTCACGGTTTTGTCAAATATGGAGGAGACAGAACAGAGATGTGTTTCATTTCATTCTTATCAGGTGTGCTCTGTGTTTCGTCAAAATAAAATATGTAAAGACCCATGGAATTCATTCTTCTCAGGTCAGGTGGGTATATCTTGGGCCCATGTTCATAATGATTAATGTAAAGGATTTTGTTATGGGCCTCTATTATGAACAGTTTATTGGGCCTCTATTATGATATATATATTTGTTTTTTTGGGCCTATATTCAATTGGGCTATAACATTTGGAATTTTTTTTTTTATATCTAAAACAAAAAATCATATTTTGGGGCCTTATTTTCAGCCCAAATCTGGGGGCCCAAGGCGCAGGCCTCTTGGGCCTGCCCTCAGGGCCGGGCCTGGGTATGACGTAAAAGAGACAATGTGAGAGAGAGAGAGAGAGAAGAGAGAAAGGTGATGGAGGACGGAGTTAGCGGAACGAACTACCAACGAATGGAAGTTCTAACTTGCAAATTACGGTGAAACTTTTAAAAGAGATGGTTGAGGACGACTAGAAAGATGTAGGAATGGCAACGGGGCGGGGCGGGGCCGGGGATCACCCTCCCCGTCCCCGATCCCTGATGGCAGAACTTCCCCCCGTCCCCGTCCCCGTCCCCGACGGGGAACCAACTACCACCCCCACCCCCGCCCCCTAACGGGGATCGGGTTTCCCCGACCCCGAAAATCCCCGACCAAAAAAACAACATCAACAGAATATTTGGGCTCAAATACAACATAAAAAAAAAAAAATCAACAACATCTCAACATCAACAGATCATTAACAACAGAGAACAGATCAACTACACCAAAAAAAAAATAAAATTGATAGAATAAGACAGATCTGAGAGAGAGATGGCCACGGCAGAGGCAAATCTGCAGATCGAGCAAATCTGCAGCGGTGAAGAGCTACTGAGGGACGACGGCCACGACAGAGGCAACGACGCCGGCAGATCGAGTCGACGAAGGAGGTAGGGGCGTCGGAAGAGGCAACGGTGTCGGCAGAGGGAAGAAAGAGAGAGAGAAAGAAGGACGATAGGAAGAGTGAGGTGAGGGTGAGACAGAAGAAAGAGTGAGAGAAGAGAAGAGAGAGAGAGTCTGTAAGAGAGAGTTGTAGATCTGTAAACAATGAACATATATATAATATAATATTATAGATAGGAGCTGTAAGTTTACAGATATATAATATATAATATTATTGTTTACAGCCTGTAACCAAACCAAACATACATATATATATATATATATATATAAACTATAATATATAAATCAGGGGATAACCGGGGCGGGAGGCGGGGCCAGGACCGGGCTGGGGCCGGGGATGAAATATATATCACCGTCCCTGGCCCGAATATCACCGGGGATTTGTTTTTGAATACCATCCCCGGCCCGTCGGGGGTATTTTTCGGGAAAAAATCACTCTTATCGGGGACGGGGGGTCGGGTCCCCGTCGGGTCGGGTTGAAATTGCCATCCCTAGAAGGATGGTGGGGAGTGGGGCCATTGGTGAGAGAGATTTTGTGCAAGTACTACTTCCAAGAGGTGTAAATCTGGCCTGGTTCAGTCCATGTCAGGTCTTGTGGATTCTAGTCAAAATTTGGGCCGGGTTGGGTCACGGGTTAAAAAATTAGGCCCAACCCTAGGCCCATGGGATATTCGGGTCTTAGGCAAGCCGATGGGCTTGGGTAGAAAAGTCAAATTTTGGCTCGGGCTGGGTCATGGGCCAAAAAATTAGGCCCAACCCTAGGCCCATGGGATATTCGGGTCTTAGGCGAGTCGATGGGCTTGGGCCGGGCTTGGATGAGCCTGATCATTTTTTTTATTTTTTTTATCAAAATTTTATTATTTTTCACTAAAAAACACTGGGCTTTGGGCGAACCGAACTTTGAGTGGGCCTCAAGTGGGCCGATGGATCGTGTCACGGGCCGGACTTCAAAATGATGGTCTAGACACAAGCCCAGGGATTCGGGCTGGGTTCGAGCTCGGGCTTAAACAGGTAGGGCCCATCCTAGAACGCGGGATATTTTTACACTTTCAACACAAAAAGATTAAAAATGGAAAGTGACCAGCTACAAATTTGTATAAAAGTAATAAAGAAAAAAAAATTATATAAAAATTTGTAGTACGCCATTTATATTTATTTATTGAAATCAAAATGTATGTTCTTCCTAAGTAATTATTGAGTGATCTCAGTATACTATGTTGTATTTTTTATATTGTGCTTTGATTTTTCAACGTACTAAAAAATTTTACTGCTAAAATAATATTGACTTACCTTGTTGACTAATTAAAAGAGGATGAATTATTCACTTAACTAGTTTTTTTTTTTTTCTTAATGGGGAATGTTATATGTAGGAGTGTAATTTTGGCCCGTGGCCCGCGGGCGGCCTGAGGTGGGCCCGGCCCTTTAAGGCCCGTTTAGGCCCGAGCCCAAGCCCAGCCCAAGGCTTTAGGCCTGGGCCATCGTTTTGAAGTTCGGCCCGGCCCGTGGCCCGATCTATTGGCCCGCTCAAAAGCCGACCAAAGGCCCGGCCCGCCCGGCCCACCCAATGCCCAGTGTTATTTTTAATGCAAAATAATAAAATTTTGGTGGAAAAAATAAAAAATAAAATAAAATAATTTGTTTAGGCCCGCTCAAACCCACCCAAAGGGGCCCGTCCCACTGGCCCGTCCAAAGCCCAAATACCTCTAGGCCTGGGCCTAATTTTTTGGTCCGTGAGCCGGCCCGGCCTAGACCGATTTTTTGGCGAGAGCCTGCAAGGCTCGACATGGGCCGGGCCAAAATTACACCCCTAGTTATATGATATATTGAGGTTATTCAATAATTTTTAATTCTTCCTACTCACAAAGCCCTCCTTAATTCGTTTTTACTATTGCCACTATTATTACTAACCTTTATCATCTTCTTCGTTGCTCTCTCGTCTTACCTAGCCCTACACATTTCCACCCCACCCCACAATCTCCCTTTCCTATTTTTGTTAGGCTTGGGAAGATTGCTTTAGCCCATAAGGCTGGGCTAGGTTAATATTTTCAGCCCGATTTATTAATGAGTTAGATTTGAAATTTATATTTTCAACCTAATCCGGCTCAGTCTGGCCCTCTATTAAATTAATTAATTAATTACAATACATTAAAATATATATTTTTTGTTGGGATGTAGACTCTATCTTTATTGATTTTATTGAAACTCATATTTGTGGTGATGTGTGATTGAATTAATTTAAGAAATCCTTCAATTTATACACAAAATCTTTCAATTTATAATGATGTCAATATATTTATTTAAGAAATATAATGTGTGATTGAATTTAATTATGGAATGTTTTAATTTTTTTTAGTATATAGCCTGATGGGTAAATTTGGGATTTATAATTATTTTTGGATCAGGCTTAGAACTTAGGCAGATATAGAGGCCAAATGTTAGAGCCAGACCGAACTTGAATAGATACAAAATCTCTTATTATGTAATATTGACCCGGCCTAAATTCGACCTGGCCCGACATATGCCCATCCCTACCTAACTCTTTCATCTCGTAACCCCATATACTTTCATCCCAAAGGTGTGAACTCTGTTAGGTGCAAATGAAAACAACACAATTTTCAATTGAATCTGACACTATAGTTGCAATCAATATAGTTCACGTTTGCACAGTCGGCTTCTTGAGTGGGAGAAACTTGAATGGTTGAGATAGGATACGGTGCCTATAGTTTGGAGATGGAGAAACAAGGATTGAAGATTGGGAACGACAAGACCTAGAGTTGGTGGACAATATGGAGAAGGGTAGTAGTGACGAGTAAGCATGGGATGAAAAATAGCTAATGGT